GCCAAGTGGTGTGATAAGACACAGAACACTGTGCATTCAAAAGCCTGGACCATGGTCATTGATGACATATGGCTTCCCTTCCTGCCCTCAAAGACTACCCTCAGGTCTTTGATATGAGGAAGAAGTCAGTTCAGCTTCTGTCTTCTTCCAGCCACTGTTATTTGTGATTTCCTGTTTTGCATCCCTGAACATAATCCTAATGAAAACTGAAAGTCAAGAGAAACTGTATGTGATCAATACTAAAGCTTAAAATGAGCAAAATTCCAAAATTATAAAAGTCATAGCTTAATACAATAAAAATACACAGCCATTCAGATGAAGAAAATAGTACAAAGACAAATTATAGTGTATGAATACTGGTGAATGTAAAATAAAATGTCAAACAGTGATATGACTAAGAAAATTTGACAAAAGGCAATTGTTTAGGTCAAATGCATTCAGTAAACAGTATCAAGACCAATCTGGATATTCAATAGGGTTCACATTTCCACTCTAAAGTTTCTTTTTAAAGGGTCTCCATTCATTGAGATTCACTCATAGATAACTTCACATCAAAGGTCATTGTATAATTTCATGCAATTAATTAACTAACAGTTTTATTCCTCCTTCAAAGCAAAAACATGCAACTATCTTTAAGGAAAACAGATATGTTCATAAATACAAATACCCCAAACAAGAATGTATAAGAAATTCACAGAGGGATGACTTCCAGGCACATATTAGAAATTGATATCACATTTTCTTTTAGGGATGCCAATTGCTAATAGCTGTAATTTTTTAATATAAGAAACATTACCTCTTAGCTTAAGAAATCCAAAATTCATTTTGTTCATTATTGGAAGCAAAATAATATATTTGTTAAAAAGTCCCATGTGACATTTTTTTCTGGCCGTAGTTTGCTTAGAAATTTAGGGTTTAAGAACTCTTTTAAGTAAAATGCAGCCATTGGAATGACTATTCTCTCCATTTTGAAGTCTACAGACTCCCAAGTTTTAAAACAAAAGTGCATTTGTATCGGGAGAGTAAGAAATTGAAGTGAAGCTGAGCTGGAAGTGCTCCCAGGCACCTGGTGAACATATCTGAGGGTACAGAGCTCCCAGTCCCAGAGGACTAGCTCCTTCCTTTTCCCTCATGCAATGTAATGAGCAGAATTGCCATTAAATTCAGGCTCTTTTAAAACATGCCACCTTTTTTCTAAGTCTCTTAGAAATACAATACAAAGAAAAAGGTATCACCAAATTTTGCTGATTAGCATATTTCAAATCAAGATGATCATTTGAAGACAAAGGCACAATCTTTTCTTTATAATGACTCTCTTGTTTGAGATATCATAGCAATTTTCCCAACAGTTTATTATTAAATACGTACACCCATACCATTGTTTGAAAAGAAAAATGTAATTCTGAACATTTCTTACCCATCCTCCAACCTCTTAATTCAGTCTCTCACTTACACAATATTGATGCTCAAGGTTTATTTGGTTCTTATTAGGGAAATAAATCTATAAAGTAAATACACAAATATGTTTTTCAAGGTCTGTTGAGTCTTAATCCAGGGTCTCTGCGGTTTATAAAACCATTGCATCTCTTCTACATGGGCCCCTCCCAGCTTGCCTCACCCAGGCCTCCTGAACAGGCTACAGGTGCTGTGTGCAACTTATCCCCATGAATTAAACCACAGCAATATGGAGGAATGATCCCCTTCCACTGGCACATCTGGACAAACAGAAGCTGAGGACCAGCAAGGGGAACCGTAGGATAAGACTGGAATAGGAAGGGCAGGGTAAGGACACTGCCAACAGCACAAACAGGTAGCCACCAGTAGAGTCACTCAAAACTTCATTAACTAGAAGTCAAAGTAGTAAAACTCCAAGATAAGTGGGAAGAAAGGGAGCTGATACAAACAGAGCGCTCAAGATTCAGCCAATGCCTTTCCTTTATCTGACTATAGATTGACATGTGTATGCTCTATACAAGTGTGCACACAGTGGGTCGTATCTATTGTTTGGAGGAGTAGTGTGCACACAGTGGGTCATATCTATTGTTTGGGGGAGTAGTGTGTTCTGTGTGAGTAACTGTTCCCAATAACTCAAGATCAATTTCATAGAGAAGTTGGTTATGTGTGTGTTAAGTGTTAAACACTTAACTTACATGAAACCTTTTAAAAAATGTATCACACTTTGTTGTGTTTTTAAACAAAGTTCACCGAAACAACCTTATCTTTTCTGGGGACGTGGGATGATAGTTGAAATATAGCTAGGCCCTATCTTTAATATTAATATAACCATGCATCCATGGAATTCTGGGCCCCAAGTGCAGATTATTGGATCAGAGGACTGCTGATGTCAGAGAACAAGGTTCCAAAAATAGGGAAAAGGATTTGTTGAATTTCGGTAGAAAAGTAAACAAGGTCGTGGAAGAGAGAGGACAGACAGAGGAACAGAGTGTGAATGGAAGCCTTTGGGGGGATTGGATGGAAAGGAGGCGAGCAGGCACTGAGCATTTGGAGGACACTCAACAAGGGGATGACAGGCAGCCAGAGCATCAGGTGTGGCATGACCCCTAGTCAAGAGCAGCAGACACGGGGAGAGTATGTCAAAGAGGGAGCAAGACCACCCCTCATGCAGAGGCTCTCCTATATCCATGGAGAGATTTCTTTTGGTATGTGAAAACAAAGTTAACATATTCAGGTTTTAAAATGGTAGGAATGCCTAAGTCTAAGCCAATGTCACCTCCTGGACCAGAAGCAGGTACAGGAAGAATTTAGCTGAAAACAACACAATCCAGTAGTTCTTTTTGGAAAAAAATATTGCTTAATTTGAACTACAGTTTAATACAAAAAAAAAAAAAAATCCATTTCCTTCTCAACATACAAAGTCATAATTTTGGCCTTGTAAACAGCGAGGCTGGTAAATGTTGGGGGAGTTCTGGCAGCAAGAACTCACCTTCAATATTTTGATTAGTTCCGCTTGGCTTGTGCAAAATTGCCCGCATTAAATAGGGCAATGCCTTCACAGTGACTTAGCAATTATTCTAACATTATATTGGCCCCCAAACTCAGATTTTTTACCAAACAAATGTTTTAAAGAGATTATCATTAGATCTGAACAATTTTATTCCCAATAAATGTTATGAATTCAGTGACTCTTAAAACACCGCCTGGCCAGAATCCATAAGCAATAGAATTATTCTTAGGCTCTCTCGGTAGAAATTTTCCCCCGAAGATCACACTAATTCAAGCAGGCATGAAACAAAATAATTCCAGATTGAAAATTGAGGATTTATGTGTGCAAAAATAAGCCCAAATATGGCAACAAGCCTGTTAGAAGTATAATAAAATTGAAATCTGAAAATTCCAGTTAGGAGGAATAAGTTCAAGAGATCTATGGTACATCATAGTGACCATAGTTCATAAAAAAATGTATTTTACACTTGAAATTTACTAAAAGAGTAGATTTTACATGTTCTCATCACAAAATCGCAAAGTCTGTAAGGTAATTCATATGCTAATTAGCTTGATTAACCAATCCACAGTGTATACAATATGCCAAAACATCATTTGCTCTGTAAACACATACAATTTTATGTTAATTGATAAAATAAAAATAAATAAAAGAAAATGCAAAGAAATTACAATGAGACATATATACAAGTGGAATAAAACATTAAGAAAGTAAGATAGGCCTGGGGTTGTGGCTCAGTGGTAGAGTGCTCGCCTAGCACACGTGAGGCACTGGGCTCAATCCTCAGCACCATGTAAAAATGAAATAAAGATATTGTGTGTCCACCTACAACTAAAACATAAATGTTAAAAAAGAATGTAAGATAAAGCCCTATATCCATAAAATTCTGCACATAGTTTCTTACATTTTGTGCTCTATCACTGAAGAACATATAAACTACCTGAGTTTTAGTTAGCTCTTGCTGTGTAACAAACCTTTCTAAAACATGGTGGCAAAAAAAACAAAGACTGATGATTTAACATGATTCTCTGGTGGCCTGGATAAACTATCTGCTTCTTTGATGCAGGCTGGTGTCACTCATAGTCCGTGAGACTCAAGCCAGTTGGAGTCTTTCCCTCCTCAGTCTCTTGAAGAGGCCTCTCCCTCCAGGAGGAGGGTCTCAGCTTCCTTACAACATGGCAACCAGAGTCCTAAAAGTAGAACTTCTAGGCCATTTGAGGGCTAGGTCTAGAACCGCACAGCATCACGTCTGTCACATGATACTGGCCAAAGCAAATCCTCCCAATTCAAGGAGAGAGAAAAATAGATTCTACTTTTAGATGAGAAGAAGGACATGAGGGCATAGTGAAGGGAGAAATTGAGAAGCATCTTTGAAAATAATCTTAACACACTGGGTGATATATAATAAGGTTTCATCTTCCTCTAGGTAGGAATAACTTGCTATTGCATGACTTAGGGCAAGTCCTAAGTAAAAAGAACTGCCAATCACTTTGTTCCTACCTAAGAATAGAATGGCAAAAAGCTAGGGTGTTAAAAATAGCACATTATCTACATATATTAAAACCAGTACCCACAGTGCCTTTTTCACTATATTATGGACTTTGGACTAAAACAGAAAAATATTTTTAAAGGCATTATTACTTGCAGAATATAATTACATTTATTAGTATAATCTATAAGTATGCTTACAAGAATCCTTGATTAGCATAGGAAATTATTATATTTATTAACTATATTATATATTTATTATCTGTTATTATATTTTACTATCAAAAATATAATAAAAGAACTCCAGTAGATAGAGCCATCTACTGACACCCAAACTCAACATGTGGATAACTGAACCCATCTCTGTCTCCTCCCATATTCCTTATGTCATCCTATTTCCTACCCACAGTGTGATAGTTCCTTTCCCATTTGTGCCCATATACTTCACCTCCATTTACATATGAAAATGACCAGGCGATTTTACATGTTTGTAATTTTATATACCCAGTATACAATAAATATACTTTTGTACCATGATCTTTTTACTCACCCTTTTGTTTCCACATTAATCCATGGTATAGTTCTTCATTCATTCATTGTTGTTCATTGTATTACTGTGCAACCAAATGTTTTCTTTTCTCCTGATGGATAGTTCCATTTTTTCATTCTTCTAGACAATGTTGAAATGACATGTCAGTTTTCACATTCGGATGGGCTTGTATGAGAATTATTCTGAGTTGTTGTAGTTTGGATCTAAAAATATCCCCTAAAGAGCTCATGTGTTTGGCAAGGTAGCAATGTTCAGAGGTGAAATGAGAGCTGTAAACTCCTCCATGCATTAATCTATTATAATTTGAATGGACCACTGGGTGGTAGGCAGTGGGACTTGGGGGCTGGCACTGGTTGCATGCCCTGGACTATATCTGTACCTGATATCTATCTATCATCTCCTTCTCTTCCTTCTCTCCCTCTCCCTCTCCACCCCCCACCCCCATCCCCCACCCCACCCCCTTATCTGGCTGCCATAGAATGAGCAGCTTTTCTCCACCACACCCTGCCACTCTGATAGACTGCCTCACCTCAAGCCTACAGCTAGGGAGTGGGCTAACTATGGACTGAAACTCTGAAACCATGATCTCCAAATAAACTTCTCCTTCTCTAAGTGGTTCTTGTCTAGTCTTTTGGTCACAGTGATGAAAAGCTGAGTAACATATTTGTATAGATAAATCACACAACACATGCATGACCATATTATCAGATATTGCCAGATGTATACTAACGGTATATAAGAGTCTCCATTGCTTCATATACTTACCAGTTCTTTGTATTATGGAATGTATACATTTTTAATTGATAGATAGGAAATTATATTTCATGTTTATTTTTTTCATTTCTACAAAGTTCACAACTTTTCACCAACTTGCCAGCTAATTGCATTTTCTATTCTGGAAGCAACTTATTTCTATCTTTTGCCAACTTCTTGATGGAGTTGTCTGATTATTGTTTACTAAATTGAAGGACTTCTTTATATTTACTAATTAAAAACACGGGAGATTATATATTCTGTGAATATCTTCTGTAAGTCTTTGGCTTTTCTTTTTTATTTGTTTGTTTTTAGATAATCTTGAAAAGACTTTTTTAAATTTTTATATGGTGAATTCTATCAATATTTTCACGTACAAGTCCTATCTCAATTTAAAAAGACTTTCAAACTTCAAGTCCATGAACTTATTCTATATTTTCTTCTTAAAGACTTTTTTATTTTTCACATTTATATCCTCAACTGACCTGTAATTGGTGTTTACATGATATGTGATACTGGTTCATTTTTCCCCTTAAAAATGCTCAGCATCAGGCTGGGGTTGTGGCTCAGTGGTTACAGCACTTGCCTAGCATGGGTGAAGCACTGGGTTTGATTCTCAGCACCACATAAAGATAAATAAATAAAGTATTGTGTCCATCTACAACTAAAAAACATTTTTTTTTTTAAAAAATGCTCAGCGTTATTCATTGAGTAGTTATTTTTTCACCACTGATTGACAATGTCACCCATATGTCCATTAGATCAATTTTCATAACTCTGTTATTTTATCTTATCTTTCCCTAAGCAATATTTATATATTGATAGCCATGAGACCTATATTGATACCTACATATACTGATAACTGTGTACCAAACTGCTCTCAACCCATGACAATATTAACTCATTGAATTCCCACCCAACTGAGGAAACCAGGGAGGTTGATAATACAACTAATAAGTGGCAGAAACTGATTTCAAACCCAGTTTGGCATCAGCATTCATGCCGTTCACATCAGGATGTTTATGATGTTTTATTATACAGGCTTATTTTTGCTCAAGTTTATTAAGTTATATTTGCTCCCTGCTCCTTTTTTCTGGTAGCAAATTTCTTCTTAAATAATCTCTTAGTGGAGCTTAAGTGTGATTAACTCTTTCTCTCTTTTTTTATCTCTTTCTCTCCTGCTTATGAATCTGAAAATGTTTTCATTGTCTCTGCTTTCTACTCATTTTTTGAGGAAAGTTTAGCCAAGTGTACATTTCTAATTAGGTCATTACTTTCTCTCAATGTGTTAACAATATTCTGTTCTCTCTGTGTTTTCTTTATCACGGCTCAAACATCACATATCAGTTTGCATAATTTCTTTATATTTCCTTTGCTTTTAAAAATCATCTTGGTCTTTGGCATTATGTATTTATACTAGGTTTTGACAATGTATAGATTCAGTTCTATTCGTCTTGAGATTCATTACATTTCCTAAATATGAACGTCTATTTCATAAATGTATGAAAAGTTCATGCCTTAAATACTGCTTTCTCCAAATCTCTCCAATTTCTCTGGAACTTTGACTAGATATATCTTTAACTTTTTATTTATATTACTATGTCTCTATATGCCCTCTGGAAATGTGCTTTAGGAAGAGTCTTAGAAATTTCTTGTAAAACTAAATGAACATCTAGCCAATAACCTAGCTCTTCTACTCCAACAGATTTAAAAGAAATGAAAATCTATTTCCAAAAAAGACTTATATAAAAATGTTCATGGCCACTTTGTTCATCATAGCCCAAGTCTTTGAACAATCCAATGTCCACTAACAGGAAAGTAGATAAATGAATTTTGACATTTTCAAACAATATAGGTGAATTTCAAAACAATAGTATTCAAGGTAAAAATAATCTACATTAAGCAGTGCATTCTTTAAGATTATTTATTATCCATTCATATTTTGATTTATTGTTTTAGAATAGGCAGAATTTGTCTGTAAATAAAAAAAAAGAAAGAAAGAAAAAAATAGAACAGAACACTTGTAGCCCCTAGTAGTGGAGTTGAAGGTGAAGATATCAGCTGCTGAGGAAGGGTATCAAGTAAAGGAAATGTTCTATAGCATTATTAAAATTTAAGTTGTACAGGTGTGTACATTGGTCACATACCTAATGATGCATATAAAATTCCATTGTATGCAAATTGTACTTCAATATGAAAGTATAAGCAAACATTTTTATTTATGGTGAGTGAGTGCTATTTACAGAAATGGATATAGTGTAATGTTTTGCAATGTAGTTAAGATGTATTTTTGAATTGTTTAGGTGTGAGGAGAACTCAACAACTCAATTTGCAAGCATCAAAAACACGATAGGGCTGGGGATGTGGCTCAAGCAGTAGCGGGCTTGCCTGGCATGCGTGCGGCCTGGGTTCGATCCTCAGCATCCCATACAAACAAAGATGTTGTGTCTGCTGATAATTAAAAAATAAATATTAAAAAATTTTCTCTCTCTTTAAAAAAATTTTTTTAAAAAACCATAACAATAAATTGATAAATAAGTTAGACATATTTTAAAGCAAATGTAACAAAATGTTAACAATAGTAAAATTTTTAGATATTTTATGTAAAATTCTTTCAACTTTTCTCTGTGTGAAAGTTCTCATGTTAGGGGAAACTTGCTTGTCTTGATTATACTATCTTGTTTCTTTCGTATGTTTTGACCTTTTATATTTTTAATTATTTTGAAAAAAAATTATGGTTCCTATCTGAACAGTTACCTAAAATTCCTGAAGATTTAATTCATTGTTTACCATGTCTGATGACTCCCTCCTGACAGACTGCTTCCCCGGAGAAGAAGCATCCTGTATTGTAAACTCACATTTGCATGGGCTGGGGCAGGCAGAGTTTCCCTTTATTTATTTATTTATTTATTTATTTATTTATATTTGTTTTCTTTTGGACATCTTTGTGTCCCAAGATTACTTCTAATATGGGACATTAAAAAAATTTTACTTTCATTCTCAGCACAAAATGTTCAAGATCAGACAGATAGTGTAATTCTACCAAAATCTTAGTTATAATCACTTGTTGTTTTTCTTACTTTAAGTATGTCTATGTTCAGGCCCAGAATAGCTTTCACCTTCCTGGTGTAGCAGACAATTTTTTTCCTGGCTTCCATTTTAACCGCGAGATAAGACATCCAAGAATTCCCAGATTTGTGTTGGAGTTTCATCCCAGCACCCTGCCCATTAATTCCAGAGCCTTGGTTACCAAGATAGACAACACCTGCTGGAGCAGCAGAGGTTTCAGTTTTATATTATCTTTCACTTGGCCCCTACAGATTTAGCACCCTTTTCTACAAACTACAAAATTTCTAGTGTAGCTGGGAGCAGGGGCACACACTTATAATCCCAGAGGCTTGGGAGGCTAAGACAGGAGGACCGCAGGTTCAAAGCCAGCCTCAGCAACAGCAAGGCACCAAACAACTCGCAGAGACCCTGACTCTAAATAAAATACAAAATAGGGCTGGGGATGTGATTCAGTGGTTGAGTGTCCCTGAGTTCAATCCCCAGTACCAAAAAAAATTTTTTTTCTCGTGTATTATAATAAGAAGATCTTTACACTTTTAATCCCTCATATAGCTATAAATTGAAGTTAGTCATTACATGCGAACAGATTGACCATCACTACATGGGGTCTTAGACTGTTTCACTGATGTCATCAATAGCTTATATAACACTTGCTTTAACCATAACTTATATAACACTGGTATATAATCAATAAACAAATACTGGATTCATTATTTCAGTTGTAAATTGAAGATACATTCAAAAAATATAAATTAAACATTATGAATAACTATCCTTTATATTGAAGATCTTATTTAATTCTCACAACAAACGGTAGTAAGTTAGGTAATAGTAGTCTTACAAACTAGAACATCTAGACATGATAGTGTTAAGTTAATTTCTAACAAACAGTAGGTTTGATTTCAGAGTGTTCTTTGCTTCTAGGATCCACATTAAATTGAACTAAAAGAGGAAGAACTGAATAAATAATTAAAATATAAATTAATACAATTATTTAAATATCCTTAAAAGTTTCCTGCCAAAGGTTTTACTTTGAAACTCTCTAGTAACCCCATAAAATGTAAAATATCCTTCTATACATTTAACTGAGCCAAAATATTTCTGGCAAATATTATAGACTCGGAGAAACTATGGATATATAAATAAAAAGTTCCTAGAATTCTAATTTGTCTGGAATAACAATAATAACTAATTTACAAACTATAAAATTCAAGCTTAATAGGATTAAATGAATTTCCGGAGATCAGTTTTTCTAGTATGTCTAGAATAGAGTGAGTAAAACCTTTTACCTAACAATTACACCAAATAAATAAACAATTACACCATATTCACCAAATTGAATATGGGGTGGTAGTACATGTAAAAATTAATTAAAAAAATATTTATAGTAAATTAAATTAAAAAATAAAAAGTGTCCTAGCTGGGCACGGTGGCACATACCTGTAATCCCATAGGTTCAGATGAGGTGGGAGGATCATGAGTTCAAAGCCAGCCTCAGCAATGGCGAGGTGCTAAGCAACTCAGTGAGAC